GGGTGTGCCAACCCCCAGTCGCAGTATTCTCAATCCTAGGCTTTTTAAAGTGGGGGGCATTTAAACCCCGGGTACCCCCCGCCATGTCTGGCTGGGTGGGGAATTCTGGGAGTTGAAGTCCACCCATCTTAAAGCTGCTGAGATTGAGAAACACTGATCTAGATGGATGAAGTTGACTAGAGAGTACTCTAATCCTCTCTGATATGCATTTACTGGGAGAATAGGAACTTTAAATGGACCATCACTTAGAATTTTGATGCATCGACCTGGGCTTGCAAATGTAGCAGATGCAAACGAGAGTTTAATCACTTGGCCCTCTCAGCAATCCAAGAAAAGTTTTCGTCAGACAAGAGCTTATGATTGATCTCTTATCAAAGTGCGTTTAGTTAGCCAGCTTTTAATGAACGCATCTTCATCGTTTAATCTCTTAAATCTATTTTTCGCTGGGTTGGGTGCTAAATTGAGTAGGTAGATGGGAGACCAATTTAAAACATAGAATAAAACAAACCAGGCCGTTGCCTTCAAGATACGCACAGTTTTGGATCAACTGCAAAACCCAGAAATCTTTAGGTAGCATAATCTGGGAGGTGTTCATTTGTGAGACTTGTTTAGCCTTGGAAATTTGTGCCCTGGGAGGGGGGCAGGGGCACTCAAAATACCCAGGTCAAGGAGGCACAGCCACCGCAACCTTACCTGAAGATATTCCATGCCTTCAACATTAACACCGTTGACCTCAAGGATCCGGTCTCCATCCCGGAGGCCCCTGCGGTAGGCCAGGCCTCCCAGCGTCACCTTTCGCACCATGGGGCTCTTCCCTCTGGCCACCTGGCACAACCAGAAGCCCAGGTTCTCACCACCTTCTTTCTTCAGGAAGCAGAAGCGTACCCGGGAAGCCCTTTCTGGTTCTGAGGAGGACAAAAGTCCAGGATGCGCTGCGTTTAGTAGCCTTTAGAAAGCACCCAAGGCCACAGGGCCTTCCTTGCTCTCCAACTCAGCCAGGGTGCAAGCAGATCTAACCCTGATGCCTTCTTGCCCCATTGCCTGGGCAATGTTTCCCCAAGGGACATGGTAACAGCAAGCTGACTCAACAGAATGGAGCAGGGCCAAGAGTTTCAACCCCCCAACCCCTCTATTTTTAGGAATAACAAAGAGGGGTGTCAAATATAGGTGCATTGAGCTTCTCAAATTGTATTGGAGGGGCAGGATATGGTACTTATAATGCCTTTGCGTTGGGAAGACTGAATATGGAGAGAAGGGGTAGGCTGGGTGAAAGGACTCCAAGATCTGTAAATCATGCAGAGACACAGCAGGAAGGCAATCTGTAAGCAGGGCAATCTGCTGTGTCTTAATATTGACTGAAGGAGTCAATCGGGTCTGCTCCAGGCACCCCAAGGAGATTCGTCCATCCCAGAATAATGGCTCATGCGGAACATCCTTGGTAGATGGGCTCTCTTGAACTTAGGAGGAAGCCCAGCAATTGAACACATCTCTCATTACACCCTAACAGTTCATTGCCCTGAGTCCTGTCTTGTAGCACACTAATAACTTTGTTGTGGCATTTACAAAGAACTTAGAAGCATGTTCAGCTGAGCCCTTGTTGAGAGGAGACCCAGGGAGGAGGAGGAAGCGTCACCTTGCAGAAGAAAGTTCTCTCATGGAATGGAATAGGCAACTCACTTGCCAAACAGCCTCAGGGAAATGCAAGCCCTTCCTTTCCCACCCACAAGCCAGCCCTCCTGTGGTTACCGGAATCCTCTGCCAGGGATAAGGCGGGATTATCGATTCCTTCTTTCGGGTTAAATTCAAATTTCCTGCAAGAGAGCAAGAAGAGGGGGCATTGCAAAGGTTGAGAAACAGGAGTGTTCACAGGATATGGTCCAAAAAGTCAAGATGGTGGCCCCGACAGTGCCATCAAAGCTCCACCTGTTGCCCATGCAACTCACATAACAAACAAGCAGAGCGTTGATCATACCATCGTGGCCACCATCTTGGCGTTTTCTGACTGCAGCTTGGGACACTCCTGCTGAAAAGCCACCAAAACTTCCCACCAACGGCTCAGCCTCCACAGAGCTGCCAATCCATTCCCAGACTCCATTGGAGTGTTTTCTCATTTCTCTGATTGTTAGGGTCCCTTGCTGGGGTCCAGGAACCATTCCTTGATCCTGGAGCTTGCAACCAGGAGCTTAAGTGTCAACCGATCGATCACCTTGTTTGTGCAAACTGGCCTGTATGCAGGGTTGTGTGGAATTGCATGTGGGGGAGAAAGAAAAGTTGGTGGCTCTGCTGGTTTTCCCGGTGCCCTCCCACCCCCAGCTTGGCACTTACATGGTTGACTCTGTGGTGTCCCGGAGTCCTGTAAAAGCAAGGACTGAGAGTGAACCCAGGCTGTCTCATACAAACACAGAGACCATCCCTCCCAGTTCACAGTCCCCAATATCCCCTCCCTGATTTGGGGCAGACATTTTCATTTTACTTTGGGAGGAGATTCTGAAATCCTCTTCCAGCTTTCAGAACTATTCTGCAGTCTTACCCCTTCTTACCTTGGGGTGCAATGCATCAGAATCATGGGTTGGGTGCACACATGATGAACCATCATGCAGCTTGGTTTGGGTTAAGGCGTACTGAGATGTGTGATCCAGGCTGCAACTGTTCATTTAGTAGACCATGGTTAAAGCCAACTGTGCCTTCGAATGCAATGGGTAAGCCCAACTATGACTCATTTGTGAAATTAGAGGAAGGCTTGATTCATAGTTTTGTCCTTTCCACCCTTAATAGGGAGGGGAGCTGCCTTCCGCATGTCCTTGCAAACCATAGTAGTTTCCAAATGGCTTGCAGGTCTGGGGAAAGGCAGAGTTGTGGGGAGACTGAGAAGCATGGCGTTTGCACGGTATGCTCACAGCATCCCCACCTCCAGTTCAACACATCTGGAGGACAGCAGTCTGGTTCAGAGTCCAACACTTCCCAAGACTATCAGCCAAAAGCCGCAATGCAGCTGTTTCATCTTTTCCTCCTTGACCAATAGTGGACAGAACATGCAAGAAGAGGTGAAGGGAATGAAGGGGAGATAAGATGGTTAGGGTTAGGATTAGGGTTAGGGTTACTCTGGGCATAATGCATCCCTCAAAGGGATTTTTTTTCTGCTACTATTGCAGAAAGATTTTTGGCTCCCCACCCACAAGGTTGTGAGAGAGGGCCCTGGAGCTGGGCAGCTGAAAAAGAGATGACTCCCCAGTTTCTCCCATTCAGGGTCCTCTTTGCTAAACCCAATCTTGCTTTCTGGGAGAGCAGAAGGGAAGTTCTCCTCCTGTTAGGTTAAGGAGGCAGGACAAGCCAACAGGGTCCAAGGCTGTAGAAAGTGCATTTATACAGTTTCCAACTTGGATTTTGTTTGGCAAAGTTACAAAACGAAGTTCCAGTGATCAGAACTAAGTCTAAAGATCAAGATCTCCTCCTCCAGACGCATCTCATTCCTGTTATTTTTGAGGTTCGGGCAACAACAATAGACACAGATTCACCCTAAAGAACACCTCTCTACACAAGGGTCCAGAAAACCCATGTTTAATTCCAATCTGTTTCTAGAACCAGCTTTCAGGGTTGCCAAATGGGCAGGAACAATCAGACTGGGACTGGGGGAGTCATCCAGGGAAGCAAACAAGTTTAAATAGCTTGGCAAGAGTCTCCTCAGGGTCTCTAACTGGATCTATTCAAACTGCAAAAACCAATGCATTTTTAAAGCACAATTGTTGTGGTTAACTTTTAAAAGATTACTGATGTAGCAAGATCATTAACATTGGCCAGATAGTCATCTCTTCCTCCACCCTGTTAAGCAAAGCAAAACTAGGTGGAGAAGGTTTGACTAAAGGCAGGAAATTTATTACTGGATTTAATTTATGCAACCTCTTTTTAGAGATGGCTCCTATCCCATTAACAACAACAGCACAGGGAGGAAGGGAATAGGGAGAATTTATGGTCCAGTGTAGCTTGGCTTGGTTTGGTTTGGGGTTCAACGATGGGGGATGCTCCTGCAATTGAACTTCTACCTTCCTGCAGCTTTTAAAAACAGAGGAGTTCTGCTGGGGGAAAATGCTGGCCGACTCTCGTCTGAATTCTACAGCTTCTGATGTAAAGCTCTCTTTAAAGAACAGGTGATTTTAAAACTTGCTCAACATCATACTGCAAGGAGTGTTTCATTAGAAACTGTTATGAATGCCTCCAGGTAGCACCACTACTTTCAGCTGGGTGACAAATCCAGAAACACAAACACAGAGAGACGTGGAAAACAAATGTGGGAGAGAAAGATTTGCATTCCTAGGGAACCTCTGGAGAGGTTCATGGGGGTTAGTCACTGGCACCACTTTGTAACCCGCCCCCTCCTCCAGATCCTTCACCTTCTGCTCAAGAAATCAAACCCTGCAACTCAGGGGTGCTCTCAACACTCAGCCCCAGACCACTCACCCTTTTTCTGCTTCATCTCAGCTCCCACTGTGAAGTCCAAGGTCCAGCGTGAGGTGGCTGCTTAACCTGAGATGTTTAATATTTAAACAGCACAGGAGTCTTTTCCTCAACGCTGCTTCCTTCTCCCCTGGAGTCAAGCGGGGTGTGGAGAATAGCTTTTTCATCCCTGCAAGGGAAGATCGGCCAGGGATGGCAGTCGGGGTTCTACGATCACAAGGCGATGGGACACGCGAGGGGTTTGCACGCCAAGTGAGAAGTGAACGAAGTGCAAATTGCACATCCTGAAAAAGCTCTGTTCTGGTTTGTTTGCTTTTATACGTCTGTCATGAGGACGTCACCAGGTTTGTGTGTGTATGCCTTTCATTTTTTCAAAGAAGTGATTAATGAGGGTGATAAATAAAACCTATGAATAACATTCTCAAGCCGAATCGTTGACGCAGGAAAAGAATTATTCTAGGACTAGCTAGTGCAAATGTCTTCTTGGCAAATGTTCAGGTTTTTGCAAAGAAACAGGGTTCATCCTTCCATTTAGGTATTTTTTAAACAATCTGCAAGGGGGGGGGTTAAAAATCAGTAGTGTGTTTAAATAATGCAACGGAATGGAATTACTGTATAATGTAAAACGTTCGCTGGAAGTTTATTTCAATGGCCCTTGTTTCAACCAGAAAATACATATTCCTTGCTGCTTCCCTGAGCCCAGCAGTGGCGTGCACTTGCATTAATGAGAGAAATTGGAACCAGTGTGAAAAGATGGCAAACAATCCCTCATAAACCCACAACAGACTGTCACCTTGTTCATCCCTGGTAGTTGGCATTTCAAGATAGAGTGCCTCTTGATTAGCAGGCTCTGTGCAAACTTCAGAGGTCGGAGACATCAAGGACTAGCCCTCTCAAAACATATTTGCAAAACCCATTGCAGTTTGATCCCTCTACAGCAGGGTTCCTCAACCTCAGCAACTTTAAGATGGGTGGACTTCAACTCCCAGAATTCCCCA